GCAAGCCCATGTGTTACACAGTAGAACTGCTCCATAGGGTTTTCTTAGCTGTAATTGTTACAGAAGCATATTGCCAGGCCTCTCTTCTGTGGAACTGCTGAGTGGGTTCTAACTGCCAACCTTTAGGTTAGTAGCTAAGTGTAAACCATTTGTGCCAGCCAGGGAGCTTTGTCCAGATTAGAATAAAACCAGTTGCTGTTAAGTAGATTCCAAGTCATGTTGATCTCATGAGTTTCAGAATAAAACTGTGTTCCACAGGGTTTTCAAGTCTGGACATTTTGGAGGTAGATTGCCAGGACTTTCTTTCAAGGTACTTCTGGGCAGATTCAAACCACCAACCTTTTGTTTAGTAGTCGAGCACATAACCATTTGTGCCAACCAGGGACTGCTTAGATTAGAATAGTGCCTGGTCTATAACAGGTTCTCAGTAAGTACTTACTGAATGAATGAACAAATATAGCCTTCAAAGAGCCTGGGTTGACCAGGAAAGTTCACTGGCTTTTCACACCTATGTGAGGTTGGATGGTCCTTATTAGCACCAAAGGGTCTATCCGTGGTCAGAACAAAGTCATATCTTCATGGAGGTAAAAGGCAGAAAGGTGTAACCAAACCACTGTGCCTACACAGAAGAGGACCCTCTCCCTACACCCTGTCCTCAACTTCAGTCAGGGATCTGTTAATAACAGAACTGATCTCTGTAACGAACACTGCATGTTTCTAAATTAGAGGAAAATACGTCAAAATAAAGGATTGACAATCTCATTGGAGTTCCAGGAGTCGTTAATCAGATTCTGCAAACACGTTTCCTGATTGTTGAGAGAGCTGAACGAAGAGGCTAGTTTTAAAGATGAAATCACCAGTGGAATAAGGAAGAGGCCTGGAATTTGCCAGCAGACACAATTTGTAAACCAAGAGAGCTCTTAATTGTGTAAAAAGATAGGTTTATAAAATTTTAGAGATAGTCATTTAAAAAAATAAATAAGTGAACTGGGACCACAAGACCCTGTCCACCCGAGAAAGCTCTTCAAAGCCCACTACCACTTTACATGGCTGCATCTGATGTTACAAAGAAGGCTTTGTTCATCAGACCCCCACCACTCCTCTGTCAGTTTGTCCTACTGTGATGGCTTGCATGTTGCTGTGATGCTGGAAGCTATGCCAATGGTATTTCAAATACCAGCAGGGTCACGCATGGTAGACAGGTCTCAGCGGAGTTTCCAGACTAAGACAGACTAGGAAGAAGGATCTGGCAGTACACTTCTGAGAAACTGGCCAGTGAAAACCTTATGAATAACAGTGGAACACTGTCTGATATAGTGCTGGAAGATGAGCCCCTCAGGTTGGAAGGCACTCCAGTAGTATTTTAACTGGGAAGGCAGCCCAGTCATATTTTGACTGGGGAAGAGCTGTCTCCTCAAAGTAGAGTCAACGTTAATGACATGGATGGAGTAAAGCTCTTGAGACGTTCATTTGCTGATGTGGCATGACTAAATATGAGAAGAAACAGCTGCAAATATCCATTGATAATTGGAATGTGAAATGTACAAAGTCCGAATCTAGGAAAATTGGAAGTCATAAAAAATGAAATGGAATAGATAAAGATTGCTATCCTAGGCAGTGGTGAGATGAAATGGACTGGTATTAGCCATTCTGAACTGAACAATCATGTGTATTATGCCAGGAAGGACAAACTGAGGAGAAACAGCATCAAATCCATCATCAAAAGGAACATTTCAAGATCTATTCTCAAGTACAACGTTGTCAGTGATAGGATAACATCCATATGCCAATAAGGAAGACCAGTTAATACTATTATTCAGGTTTACACACCAACCACTAAGGACAAAGATGAGGAAACTGAAGATTTAACCAACTTCTGCAGTCTGAAATTGATCAAACATGCAATCAAGATGCATTGATAATTACTGGTGATTGGAATTGAAAGTTAGAAACAAAGAGGGATTGGTAATGGGAAAATAGGGCCTTGATGACAGAAATGACACTGGAGATTGCATGATAGAATTTTGCAAGACCCATGAATTCTTCATGGCAAATACCTTTTTTCAACAACATAAACAGCGGCCATATACGTGGACCTCGCCAGACGGAATACACAGGAATCAAATTGACTATGTTTGGTCACCAAAGAAATGATGGAGATGCTCAGTATCATC